GCCCAGGCCCAGAGTTCAGGCCCCACAACAAGAACAACAAAAAAAATGCCAGCTGCCAGGTGCCAGTGGCTCACGCCTGTAATCCTAGCTACTCTGGAGGCTGAGATCTGAGGATCGCTGTTCAAAGCCTGCCGAAAACCAGGAGTGGTGCTGTGGCTCAAGCGGTAGAGCATTCGCCTTGAGCTGAAGAGCCCAGGGACAGCGCCAAAGCCTAGAGATCAAGCCCCACGGCCGACCAAAAAAAAACATGCCAGGGGCTGGGAATGTAGCTTAGTGGTAGAGTGCTTACCTAATATGAATGAAGCTCCCAGTCCAATTCCATAGTACCACATACACAAAAGCCGGAAGTGCCACTGTGGTGGAAGTGGTAGAGTGCTAGTCTTGAGCAAAAACAGCTCAGGAACAGTGCCCAAGCCTGGAGTTCAAGCCCCAGGATTGGCAAACAACAACAACAAAATAAACATACCAAAGCCTAACACCTGTGGCTTAGACCCAATCCACTCCTTAGGAGGCTGAGATATAAGGATGTGGTTCAAAACCCGTCACAGGAGAAAAGCCTGAATGATTCTTATCTCCAGTTAAGCAACAGAAAGCCAGAAATTAAGTTGTGGCTCAAGTGGTAGAGTACTACTTTGAGCAAACAAAGCTTAGGCACAGGATCTGAGGACCAGCACCAAAAAAAAAAAAAAAAACCAGTCAGCCAGGTACTTGTGGCACATGCCTGTAATCCTAGCTACTCAGGAGGTTTGTGTTCAAAGCCAGCTCATGCAGAAAAGTCTGGGAGACTATTACCTCTAATTATCAAGAGCTGGAAGTGGAGGTTTAGGTCAAGTGGTAGAGTGTTGGCCTTGAGCAGAACAATAAACAAAAGCTCAAGTCCTGAGATCAAACCCTAGCTCCAGCATGTGAGCACCCTTTGTGCACGCATTCACCACACGCGCGGGCACGCACATACGATGGATATAGTAAAGGCTTATAACCTCAATTACTTGGGAGGTATAGGTAGGAGGATTGGAGTCTGAAACTAACCCCAGCAAGAACAAGACCCTTTCTAAAAAATAATAAAGCAAAAGGGGTGGAGACATGGCCTCAAGTGGTAAAGTGCCTGCCCAGCAAGCCCATATCTACCCAGTACCACCCCCTAAAACAACAAAAATAAAAAGACTATAGGTAGAAGCAGTATCTTTTTTTTTGGGGGGGTGGGTTGGGGTTGGTCGTGGGGCTTGAACTCTGGGCCTGAGTGCTGCCCCTGAGGTGCTCTACCACTTGAGCCACAGTGGCACTTCTGGTTTTCTGGTGGTTTTTGGAGATGTCTCTCTCACAGGCCCTGAGAAGGTGGCTCAGTGGTAGAGTGCTTGCCTAGCATGCATGAATCCCTGGGTTCAATCCCTCAGTACCACATACACAGAAAAAGCCGGAAGTGGGTATTATAACAGAAGTGGTAGAGTGCTAGCCTTGAACAAAAGAAGCATTAAAACAGAACCATCTCTATAATTCCTGTTTATAACAAATGTAAAGTATAGTAGAGAAAATAGGTTAGAACCCAGCCTAAAAAATATAACCAAGCTGGGTGCCGGTGGCTTACGCCTGTAATCCTAGCTACTCAGGAGGCTGAGATCTGAGGATCTCGGTTCAAAGCCAGCCCGGACAGGAGAGACTGTGAGACTCCTATCTCCAATAAACCACCAGAAAACCGGAAGTGGCGCTGTAGCTCAAGTGGTAGAGTGCAATCCTTGAGCTGAAGAGCTGAGGGACAGCGCCCAGGTCCAGAGTTCAAGCTCCACGACCGACAAAAAAAAAAAAAAAAGAAAGAAATATGTAATACTGTAAAGAGAAGGAAAGACGCTGGGAGCCGGTGGCTCATTCCTGTAATCCTAGCTACTCAGGAGGCTGAGATCTGAGGATCCTGGTTCAAAGCCAGTGGGGCAGGAAAAGTCCTTGAGACTCTTTTTTTTAATTTTTTTTTTTATTTTTCCGGTCGTGGGGCCTGAACTCTGGGCCTGGGCGCTGTCCCTCAGCTCTTCAGCTCAAGGCTAGTGCTCTACCACTTGAGCCACAGTGCCACTTCCAGCTTTTTTCTTTTTTGCTTATGTGGTGCTGAGGAATCGAACCCAAGGCCTCAGGCATGCAAGGCAAGCACTCTACCACTGAGCTACCTTCCCAGCCAGTCCTTGAGACTCTTATCTCCAATAAACCACTCAGAAAACCAGAAGTAGTGCTATGGTTCAAGTGGTAGAGTGCTAGCCTTGAGCTGAAGATCTGAGGGACAGTGCCCAGGTCCAGAGTTCAAGCCCCGCGACGAATGAGAGAGAGAGAGAGAGAGAGAGGAGGTCTTTGAGACATAACAGAAAGAGCAGGAATTTCAGAGTTGACAAAACTATATTTATTCTCAATTCTGTCTTATACTGGTTGTATGATTTTGAGCAAGTCATCTTAGTTGTGATAAAAAAATATTTTAGGGGCTGGGAATGTGGCTTAGTAGTAGAGTGCTTACGTAGCATGCAAGAAGCCCTGGGTTCAATTCCTTACCACCACATAAACAGAAAAAAACAGAAGTGGTTCTGTGGCTCAAGTGGTAGAGTGCTAGCCTTGAGCTGAAGTGCTGAGGGACAGCAACCAAGCACAGAGTTTAGGCCCCACGACCAGAAAACAACAACAACAACAAAAAAAAACACAAACCCTTTCAATTGGAATTCAAAATGAGTTCCAGAAACTGAAACATGTTTTTGTTTTGGTGGTTTATCTTTTTGGTGGGGGAAACAAAAGAGGGCACAGGAATGGAGATGAAGGGTGAACAAATGCAGTCATTATATTCAGATATATATTATGTAAAAAATGAATTATGCAACTTGTGAGCAGGGATGGGTGAGGGAGAATGGGGAAAGTGAAGAAAGGGGTAACATTGTCCAAGAAGTATTGTACTGACATATAGAATTATAACACCTTTGTACAACTCCTTAGTAACAATAAAAAAATATTCAGTTGGTTTACTTTTTGTCATTATTGTTACTGGCTTTGTTTGGTTTTCTTTTTTTTATTGTGAAAATACTGTACAGAGGGGTTACAATTACATGGGCAAGATAATGAGTATATTTCTTATCAAGCATTGTATCCTCCTCCTTTGTTTCCCCTTCCCATCCCTTCCCATCCTCCCCACCCCCCCCCACCAAGGATTTTTTTTTTTTTTTTTTGGTCATTTGTGGGGCTTGAACTCGGCCTGGGCGCTGTCCCTCAGCTATTCAGCTCATGGCTAGTGCTCTACCACTCGAGCCATAGCACCACTTCCTGTTTGATTTTCTTGAGATAAGGTCTCTGTTGCCTGACTGGCCTCAACTGTGTGTGATCTTCCTGATTGCTGGTTATCATATAAATGACTTTTTTTGGGGGGGTTATACATATATTTCCGAGCCATTAAGTAGTTGTGCAAAAAAGTTAACCATTCCAGCTGGGCGTAGTGGCTCATGTCTGTAATCCTAGCTACTCTTGGAGGCTGAGAATTGAGGATCATGGTTCTAAGCCATGAAGTCAGTGAGACTCTTATCTCCAGTTAACCTACAAGAAAACTGGAAGTGAAAATACTGTACAGAGGGGTTACGATTACATGGGCAAGATAATGAGTACATTTCTTATCAAGCATTGCAGCCTCCTCCTTTGTTTCCCCTTCCAATCCCTTCCCATGCTCCTCCTCCTCCCACCCAACCCTCCCCGCCCCCCCAAGCTTTTTTTAAATTTTATTTATCCCCCATACTATAGGTGAGGAAACCAATAATTAAAATTAATTTAGTCAGATATAGTGTTTACATTTAAGCTCAGGAGACTCAATTCTGAAGCTACATTCCTAGCCATAAGTTCAATTGTACCTAGAATTTGTGCCTCTAATTTTTTTTTCCTGAATTGCCTATAATTATGTATATGTGGGGGACTACTTGGGGTTTGAACTCAGCCTGGACATTGTCCCTTAGCTTTTTTTTTGGTCGTCGGTCATGGGGCTTGAACTCTGGGCTTAAACGCTGTCCCTCAGCTCTTCAGCTCAAGGCTAGCCCTCTACCACTTGAGCCACAATGCCACTTCCGGTTTTCTGAGTGGTTTATTGGAGATATGAGTCTCAAGGACTTTCCTGCCAGGGTTGGCTTTGAACCAATCCTTAGATCTCAGCCTCCTGAGTAGCTAGGATTATAAGTATAAGCCACTGGCACCTGGTTGTCCCTTAGCTTTTTTACTCAAGGCGAATGCTCTACCACTTGGACACAACTCTGCTTCTGGCTTTTTGGTGGTTAATTGGAGGTAAGTCTCCTGGACTTTCCTGTCCAGGATGGCTTTGAACTGTGATGCTGGATATCAACCTCCTGAGTAGCTAAGATTACAGGTGTGAACCACCAGCATCCAGCCTATATATATTTTAGTAGGTTCCTTTTTAACTTCAAAACTATAACTAAAAATGGAATTACAGATGCCTACTTAAACTACTTACCTTCCAAACTTAAATTTCTTAGGATAAAACTATGATAAAAATAGTTTACAACTGGAATTTCAAGGCTATTGTCATTCTGATATCCAGCATATATTGTAATTCACTTGTCATTGTGTGTAGTGTGTGTGTGTGTGTGTGTGTGTGTGTGTGTGTGTGTGTATGTACTGGAACTTGAACTTAGGGCCTTAACACTCTTACTCAATTTTCTTGTTCATGGGTGGTACTCTACCACTTGTCCAGCATTTTGCTGGTTTATCAGAGATGGAATCTGGTTGGCTTTTCTTCCCCAGGCTGACTTTGAACCATGATCCTCCAGGACTCACCTTCCTGAGTAGCTGGAACTACAAGAGTGATGCACCAGTACCCAGTTATTTTTTTCTTAAGGAAAATGTGGAATTCGTTAGAATCAGGCCAGTTAGGTCTTGAATTCTTTTATTAAGTTGACTGTGATCACATTACTTAATATTTCTAATACTGTTGTTTCCTTATAAAATGGAATGTAATTTATTGGTACTTAGTAAATATCAGTTTTACCCTCCACCTTTTTTTATCCCAAGCTCAGCTTGTTTCAGGGCTGAGGACACTCTCCTTAGTGGTAGAGGTCTTGGATTTAATCCCAAGTACCACCATAAAAAGAAAGAAAAAAAAAGGGAGGGAGGGAAGTAGAGTTGGGAAGGAGGGAGGGAAAGGAAGATGATAGTTGGTCAAAGTTTCAATCATGTGCTTTTAAGTGTTATTCACATATGATTAATTACAGGCATCAGCAAAAAAACATAGAGCATTTATCAAAATCCCACTGAAAGCAAGGTATGATCCTTGGGACTGTTGTATTTATAAAAAACCCTTCATGCTGGGCATATTAGCGCTTGAAAGACAGAGGCAGAGACTCATGAATTCAAGTCCAGCCTATGATAATCCTCATGGATTTGTGGATATAAATTATCTTAAATATAATTTTACAATTCTGTTTTCCTTTCAGCAACTTCTTCAAATAGTGAAGCAGAAAACCAATCAGAATTCAGTTGACACTACATTGAAGTTTACTCTGAGTGCACTTTGGAACCTTACAGATGAATCCCCAACTACTTGCAGACACTTTATTGAAAACCAAGGGTTAGAACTTTTCATGAGGGTTCTAGAGGTCAGAACCAGAATTTAGTTTCATTTTAACATTTATTAACTTATTTCAACAATTACTTGCTATATTTGATTCTTTGAGGAGTTATAGGTTTCTCTTCTTTTACAGTCCTTCCCAACTGAGTCATCCATTCAACAGAAAGTTCTAGGACTTCTGGTAAGATACGAACATTTCCTGTTACATCTCAATGTGTAATAATTTTCTGTTTAAGGGAATACATTGGAAGTTGCTGCTGTAGCATTTGTGAATACTTAATGGCATTGGAGAATACATGCATACAATAATTTTTTTTAAGTGAAGAATAAAAGAGGGAGCTAGGTGCCAGTGGCTCATGCCTGTAATCCTGGTTACTCAGCTCTTCAGCTCAAGGCTAGCGCTCTACCACTTGAGCCACAGCGCTTCTTCTGGCTTTTTTTCTTTTTGCTTATGTGGTGCTGGGGCATTGAACCCAGGGCCTCATGCATGCAAGGCAAGCACTCTACCACTGAGCCACCTTCCCAGCCCTCCGTGAGACTCTTACCTCCAATTAATCACCAGAAAACCACAAGTGGCACTGTGGCTTAAGTTGTAGAGTGGCTAGCCTTGAATTGAAGAGCCGAGGGACAGTGCCTAGGCTGAGAGTTCAGGCTCTACGACTGACAAAAAAAACAAAACAAAAAAAAACCCATAAATGAATTTGTTATTTATGTAGGGAATAGTACTATGGACATTACATCACTTTATAGTAGTATTTATCAAGCTATACCTTGTGAGTGCTCAAAAACAAAACAGCTAAAATGTAACTTCAAAAAACTCTAATAGTGGGCTGGGAAGGTGACTCAGTGGTAGAGCGCTTGCCTTGCATGCCTGAGGCCCTAGGTTCAATTCCTCAGCACCACATAAGAAAAAAGAAAAAATCCGGAAGTGGCGCTGTGGCTCAAGTGGTAGAGTGCTAGTCTTGAGCTGAAGACCTGAGGGCCAGCGCCCAGGCCCAGAGTTCAGGCCCACGACCAGACCAAAAAAAACCCCAAAAACTCTAATAGTTTTTGTGGGATAATTTACAAGTGTTTTTTTTTTTTTTTTTTTTTTGCCAATCCTGGGGCTTGAACTCAGGGCCTGGGCACTGTCCCTGAGCTTCTTCTGTGTGCTCAAGGCTAGCACTCTACCACTTGAGCCACACCACCACTTCTGGCTTTTTCTGTTTATGTGATACTGTGGAATTGAATCCAGGGCTTCATGCATGCTAGGTAAGCACTCTACCAGTAAGCCACATTCCCAGCCTGGATTTTGGCTTTTTTTTTGGGGGGGGGTCTGGTCGTGGGGCCTGAAACTCTGGGCCTGGGCGCTGTCCCTCAGCTCTTCAGCTCAAGGCTAGCGCTCTACCACTTGAGCCACAGCGCCACTTCCAGCTTTTTTTCTTTTTGCTTATGTGGTGCTGAAGAATCGAACCCAGGGCCTCAGGCATGCAAGGCAAGCACTCTACCACTAAGCCACATTCCCAGCCTGGATTTTGGCATTTTTAAAGGAAAAATAAATACACATTTCTGGGCATTATACTAAATTTCATATTGAACATGGTTTACTTTATAGTCAGAAAAAAAGATGGTATTAACAAGTGACATCAAAAGCCAGGTGCCGATGGCTCATTCCTATAATCCTAGCTTCTCAGGAGGCTGATATCTGAGAGTTGAGGTGCAGACCCAGCCTGGGCAGGAAAGTCTGTGAGACTCTCCAGTTAACCACCAGAAAACCAGAAGTGGTGGTGTGGCTCAGAGTGGTAGAGTGCTAGCCTGGAGCAAAAAAGCTCAGGGATGGCACCTAAGCCCGGAGTTCAAGTCCCACAACTTACCAAAAAAAAAAAAAAAAGACATCAAGACAGGCACCAGTGGGTCACACTTGTAATACTAGCTATACAAGAAGTTGAGGCTTAGAGAATCTCAGAAGCAAACCCAAGTACAAAAGTCTAGAAGACTCCCATCTCCAATTAAGTAGCTAAAAGCCAGACTGGAGGTGTGGTTCTAGTGATAGAATGCCAACTTTGAGCAAGAAAACTCAGCAACAGTGTGAGGCCCTGAGTTCAAGCCTCAGTACCAGCAAAAGAAGGAAGGAAAGGAAAAATTCTGTGTACAGGTCCTGGGGCTTGAACTCAGGGCCTGGGCACTATCCCTGAACTTTTGTGCCCAAGGCTAGCACTCTACCACTTGAGCTACCCTCAACTTTTGGCTTTTTGGTAGTTAATGGAGACAAGAGTCTCATAGATATTCCTGCTCAGGCTGGCTTTGAACCATGATCTTCAAATCTTAGCCTCCTGAGTAACTAGGATTACAGGCATGAGCCACTGGCACCCGGCTTCACCTTGTATTATATCATTATCCTGCCAAAAATTTAGGTATATAATTTCTGTCCATCAGTGCATGTGTTTATACGTATGTTTGTCTTTCTCCCTCTGTGTATGTGTATATCCATCCCTTTCTGATTCTGATACTTTCATGTTTTTCTTCTACACACAGTTTAGCAGCATGGCAACCCTAAACTATGATTTTTGTCTTCTCAGCTTAACAAAATTGCCAGGTTCTCTTTGACTCTTGGTTCTCCTTACTTTTATTGCAATATGGAAACTGCTCCATTTGAATACTTCAACTCTGACTAGCTTCTGGTCTTTTTCAGTGTTGAAAGCAGTTCTCCCAACCACTTACAAATATACAAATCACTTAAACTCTTGTACCCTCTTTTTTGTTTCAGAACAATATAGCTGAAGTACAAGAATTACATTCTGAATTAATGTGGAAGGATTTTATAGACCACATCAGTAGTCTCCTACACAGTGTTGAAGTGGAAGTCAGTTACTTTGCAGCTGGAATTATTGCCCATTTAATATCCAGAGGTGAACAAGCTTGGACACTGAGCCGTAGCCAGAGAAATTCTCTTCTTGATGACTTGGTAGGGTCATTTAGTGTTTTCTGAAGGAATATAAACAATATTCATAACTGCTAAAATGTCAGTTCACCATTATGTAATAATATGATGCTAAATAACCATTGTAATTTTTGTGTGTGTATCTTTATGTCTTTTCTAGCACTCAGCTATATTGAAATGGCCAACTCCAGAATGTGAGATGGTAGCATACAGGTAATTACCACAATTAATACTAAGCCAGTAACCTGGCCATTTTTCTTTTTCTTTTCTCTCTTTTTTTTGGCCAGTCCTTAGGCTTGAACTCAGGGCCTGGGCACTGTACCTGAGCTTCTTTTGCTCAAGGCTAGTACTATATCACTTGAACCACAATGCCATTTCCAGCTTTTTCTGCTTATGTGGTACTAAAGAATCAAACCCAGGGCTTCATGCATACAAGACAAACATTCTACCACTAAGCCACATTCCCAACTCTGATCATTTTTCTTATCTCAAGATTACTCATTCCCAGGCCTTTCTCCACCTCATGGAGGACCAAGATGGCCTGGTACCAGCCGGAACCATGAATAAACCTACCCCTTACCTGAAAAAAAAAAAAAAGATTACTCATAGTCGGGGTCTGGTGGCTACTGCTTGTAATCCTAGCTACTCAGGAAGCTGAGATCTGAAGGTCATGCTTTGAAGCCAGCCCAGGCAGAGAAGTCCTCGTGAGACTCTTATTGCCAATTTACCACTCAAAAACTGGAAGTGGTGCTGTTGTTCCAGTGATAGAGCACTAGGCTTCAGCTCATGGATAGTGCTCAGGCCCTGAGTTCAAGCCCCAGGACTGGCCCAAAAGAAGATGACTCATATGTAATTTTTTTTTTGCCAGTTATGGGACTTGAACTCTTGAGTCTGGGCGTCATTCCTCACCTCCTCAGCTCCAGGCTAGCGTTCTACCACAGCACCACTTCCAGTTTTCTGGTGGTTTATTGGAGATAAGAGTACCATGGGACAGGAAAGTCTGGCTTTGAACCAAGATCCTCAGATCTCAGCCTCCTGAGTAGCTAGGATTACAGGCATGAGCCACAGGTGCCCAGCTCATATGTAATCTTTGAAGTATCTCAGTACTGGCTTTTTTTAAATGTATTTTAACTTTTTTCTATCACTTATTCCATCCTTAATTCATATGTATTGACAATAAGTTCTAGGGATTTGTTCTGTGTTCTTAAAATGTAAAGGTGACTAAGACATGATGCGACACAAGAACTTTATTATTTATTTATTACTACTATTATTTTTACTTTTATTTTTTGTAGGCCTTGGGGCTTGAACTCTGGGCCTGGGTGCTGTCCCTCATCTCTTCAGCTCAAGGAGAGCACTCTGCTGCTTAAGCCACAGTGCCACTTCCAGTTTTCTAGTGGTTTGTTGGAGATAAGAGTCTCATAAACTTTTCTGCCCAGGCTGGCTTTAAACCGTGATCCTCAGACCACAGCCTCCTAAGAAGCTAAAATTATAGGCATGAACCATTGGTTCCCAGCTAAGAACTTTATATTTTATGAAGGAGATCACAATATCTAGCATAATATTTATATTCAATCATAATATCTAGCATAGATTATAATGTCTATAAGATAATATTTATCAAGATAAATCAAGATATCTATCAAGATATCATAATATCTATCAAGATAACTAGGATAATATCTAACAGTATTATGCTAGATGTTGAGAATGTTATAAAAGTGAGAGCACTTAGCTGGGTGCCGGTGGCTCACACCTGTAATCCTAGCTACTCAGGAGGCTGAGATCTGAGGATCGAGGTTCAAAGCCAGCCTGGGCAGGAAAGTCTGTGAGACTTTTTTTTTTTTTTGGGTCCAGTTGTGGGGCCTGAACTCTGGGCCTGGGCGCTGTCCCTCAGCTCTTCAGCTCAAGACTAGAGCTCTACCACTTGAGCCACAGCGCCACTTCCAGCTTTTTTTTCCTTTTTGCTTATGTGGTGCTGAGGAATCGAACCCAGGGCCTCAGGCATGCCAGGCAAGCGCTCTACCACTGAGCCACCTTCCCAGCCCAAGTCTGTGAGACTCTTATCTCCAATAAACCACTAGAAAACCAGCAGTGGCGTTGTGGCTCAAGCAGTAGAGCGCTCGCCTTGAGCTGAAGAGTGCAAGGACAGCGCCCAAGCCCAGAGTTCAAACCCCACCACTAACCAAAAAAAAAAAAAAGCACTTAATTCTATACTAGAAGACTATAAAAAAGCTTTCAAAGGAGGTGAATTGTAAACTGACTTAGACAAATAAGGGCAAGAGATTTTTAGGAAGAGAAGGCATGGAGTTTTAGAATAATATGACTACATTGAGGAACTAGAAGTACACATTTTTTGGGAAAACAAATTGCAATAATAAGGTGCATACTGTCTAATCCTGATGGTGTCAATTAAGTGACTTGTTAGGCAGTTTATTCATTATCTGAAATACTCCAATTGCTGTACAATTAACTTTATTGCAACTTTTTGTGTGTGTGTGCTGTTACCAGCACTTAAACTCAGGGAACTTACACTTTTGCTCAGCTTTTTCAGTTGTAGCTGTCCTGAAAAAGCCACTTGAGTCATGCCTCCAATTTAACTTTTTTACTGACTTATTGTATATAGAAGCTCTTGGATTTTTCTGCCTGGACTGCCTTTGAACCACAGCCCTTAAATCTTAGCCTCCTGAATAACTAGGGTTACAGGTATGAGCCACCAATGCCTAGCTGCAACTTATTTTTGTTGACTACTTCATAAGTGTATCTTGGGTGGGTACTAGTAGCTCACACCTGTTATTATAGCCTCTTAGGACTCTTGAGATCTTAGGATCAGCAATCAAAGCCAGCCCAGGCAGGAAAGTTGTGACATTCTTATCTCCAATTAACCATCCAAAAGCCAGAAGTAAAGCTGTGGTTCAGCTGGTAGAACACTAACCTAGAGCAAAAAAAAAACAACCTCAGGGACAACACTTAGAATGTAAGCCCCAGGAGTGGCACAACAAACCAATAGTAGAGCTGTGGTTCAAGTAGTAGAGCTCTAGCCTGGAGCACAAGAGCTCAGGGACAACACTCAAAGCCCTGAATTCAAACTCCAGTTTGGCACAAAAAGAAAAAGAAAAAGACACTATGTATAGAATATAACTTTGGTTCTTTTCTTTTAAACTTTAGGTCCTTTAATCCATTTTTCCCACTGCTTGGCTGTTTCACAACACCTGGAGTCCAGTTATGGGCAGTTTGGGCCATGCAACATGTCTGCAGCAAGAATCGTATGTACCAAAAAAGAGAACCATGCTTTCCTGTTCAAGTGAAATTCTGCTTTTATAGGAAACCTAAGAAAGCTCCCTGCTTCCCCCCCCCCCCCCCCCC